GTACCACTATAACCTCTTTACAACTAGTGAAACCTTAGTTCCTTTAACATTGGACTTGTCCAATTAAACTAAACATTCTGCTAATTGTTTGGATTCTAGGGCTCTCCCCAGTGTTGGGTTAACCCACCAACTTCCTGCTTACTCTTTCCCCCTCCCCTTTCCAGCTCAAGATTGCTTATCTGAAAAATTAGCCATTATCTTCAGGTGCTGTCTGTGCACTTTTTTCTTTAGTCTGTTAATCAGAGCTACTTGCCAACAAAGTTAATGTTTTTTCACTCTGGGAGCTAATCTGTTGAATTTCATGGTTTAACCTTTGAACACAGCCCCATCTGTGTTCTCTGCATCAGTCTCCTTTCTGCAGAAGAAACAGGAACTCTACCAGGAACAGCTACACTTAGCAGAATTGGGGTAAGTGGGTAAATTTAGACTAATTCCCCCTCAGTGTCCCAGGCAGGCTTGTTGACTAGCTTGATCAACCTTTTTCCTCCCATATTGCAGTAGGAACTGATGGGCCAAAATCCCAAGAATAAAACCTTGGAAATCCAAAGCTAATTAGGCCCAAGCAAAAGTTTTTTAGACTTTCTTGTCTAAGGCTTTCACTTTCCCCACAACTGAATTTTTAGTTCCACTAACCAGGAGCAACTTCTAGCCTTGTACAATACTGATCGGATTCCTGGCTTTAGCAGTTCACTCTTCCAGATGAAGAGAATGTGGGGGTCACTGGCTGGTCAGCATTTATTGCCCATCCTTAGATGTCCCCTGGTGGTGGTGAGCTGCCTTGAACTGCTACAGTTGTGCTGTAGGGTAACCCACAATGCCCTCCAGGCAATCCAGGATTTGACACAAGTGAAGGAACAGTATTTCAAAGTCAAGTGAGTGGCTTGCACTGGAACATGCTCTGCATCTGCTGCCCTTGTCCTTCATAACCACCTGTCTAGGGGTTTTGGAAGGTGCTGTCTAAGATCTTTGTTTACAGTGAATCTTGTGGATCCAGTATGATCTTTGGATGTGGCATCAATGAAGTGGGCTGCTTGGTGCCAAGCTTGTGGTGTTGGAGCTACACATCCAGGCAAGTAGGGAGTATTCCATCACACTCCTGACTTGTGCCTTGTAGATGGTGGACATTGAGTTGCTGACAGGCTAGGAATACTGACCTGCCCTTGTCACTTTATAATGCACACTTCAAACCTTGTTTGGATGAAGTTATTAAAACATCTGAAGATGGTTGGGTCTAAGACTATCCAGAGGGCATACACTGTTTCTCACCTGGTGCTAAAGTGGAGATTGGCAGGATTTTGCCTAGCCTGGGAACAAACAAAGGTTCTCCTTTAGAGCAGAGATTGAGAACAGATTGACATATTAAATTGAGGGGCATACAAGAGAAACTCTTTCTTCCCCCCCCCCACCATGGGATCAATGGAGCATACATCCTTTGGAAAAGGGATATAAGGAAAACCTTTTCAGAGGTTGGTGGGAATCTGGAAGCTAGGGGTGGTAGAAGTAGAAACTGATGTATTTAAATGTGTACTTTAAGGCATAAAATGAAGTGCATTCAAATAGCAAGTGGTTTTAAACCAGCATGGATTTGGGCTGTTCAGCCCCTTCTATGCTATAGACCTGACTCATAACCTAATGCTGATTATTAGCATTGCATCCATACTATCTTGTGTTGTATTGGCAAGATCAACCACCCATCCATATTTCACTGACCTGTTAGCCTGTGATTCTGACCTCATTGTGATAATGAATGAGGATATCAGGGCTTAGACTCCAGTGAAGCCAGAAAATACCAAGATGCAGAATTGAGAACTGATCTAGGGGTGGGAATCAAGTCAAACTTCCCTTAAATTTTCCATGACACAAAGGGGTCTCTCTTCTGTGCAAAGAGTTAACAAGGTGTAGAGCTGGATGAATGCAGCAGAGGAGCAGGAAGGCTGATGTTTTGGGCCTAGACCCTTCAGAAAAAAAACAACC